AGGAGGGAGCCGTGGACGTAGTTGTTTAAGTGCCAGCACAATTTTTGTCTTGAGAAAGAAAGAAACTACTCTGGTCCCATCTGACATCTACGAGGTATGTGCTGATACTCCCTCCCAAGGACGAGCTCCAGCATCTTCCAAAAGGTGGATTATGTGTGGCACTGTTAAAATTTGTACTGCTGGGTTAAACCCGTTGTATTTTGTTTGAGTTCTGCTCCTCTATTTCCATCTGAATTTTGATAGCCGTAGCATACAGCTGGTTTTTGGTGAGTGCTGTATCAGCAGAGAGGAGGGAGGGAGGTGAGGACACTGAGGTTAGCATTCCCAAGGTCTGTCTAGCTGCTGGAGTAGCCACCAGCCATCTGTATTTCAGGTTTTCATCTGTGAAATGGGGATGATGATGGTATCCCATATCAGAGGATTAGATAAGAAAATATGTACACTGCTTTGTGATTCCTACTTAGCAGGTGACATACAACTGGATAAAGTATGATAATCATTACATCTGGGTACCTGGACATATCTGCTGGTCTAAACAACCAGCGTGTTTTTAGACCTCTCTTCAGTCAATGGTGATGATGATGTGGCTTTGGAAAAAAAATAGTTTATATCAAAATTGGTAGTGAAAATGTTTCCCAGGCTAGTTTATAATCTCTTAAGTGTAGTGACATGGGGAAATGCTTAAGCTGTAAGAAGGAATGTATGGCATGGCTGATCAGTCACTGCAGAGCCTCTGCAGCCTGCCCAGGCTTCTTGGGATAATGGTGAACCAGGAATCCCAAGCAGCCCCCTAATCCACCCGCCGACTGACAAGGTCGGCACATCAGAAAGAAAAAAAAGGGGGGGATGGGGAAAGACAGAAGCAATGTGTTCGATCAAGAAGTTAAAATGGTCAGAGCATTTGGCTGAGCAGCGTTTCTTCTCCGGATAATTGCCCGCACAGCGTTGCCGTGTTTACACCTGCGTGATAGATGGGGCCGAGCATGTTTTCTCAGCTATGGGTGGTAGCAGGGAGGGGATATTTCAATTAAAGTGTGAATAAATTAGAATTGATTACAAATAGAGCTATTTGTTTATGCTGCCTAAAAAGGTATTAGCTGTGAACATGGTACACTTAATCATTACAGAAGGAAGCCTGAAAGTTAATAAAACACACTGCTGATCCTTACAGTGGGATGCCAGCTTTGGGTTAAATCTGTAGCTATTTTAGTTTAAAGCCCCAACTGTCATTTTAAAGGCTTATGCATTTTGGATTTTAACATGTTTGAAAGATGCAGCTGAGGCCCAGGCCAAGCCGACCCTAAAATTGGCAGCAAAATGTTACCTCTGTGCAAGCCTGCAGAATGAAAGAATCCGAGCATATGAGCAGTAAGCATGTGCCCCCTCTCCCCGCCAGTCTTCTAACATGGAAACCTGGAACTTTCTGGAAATAAATACCTTCCGAGCAAAGCAGAGGACTCCTCTCAAAGCTTTCCTACAGTAAATGCTCGGGAAGGTTAACTGCCAGCAGCAGAGGAAAGGGAAGTGCCAGGAGTGCAACACTGAAACAGCACAAGTAAGGGAGAAGTGCCCAGCCGGCCGCCCGCGCAGTGCCCCATGGTGTAGGTCTTCACTCTGATTCCTCAGCTGCCAACTCAGCCTGAAAGACCTCCGTATCCAGGTAAAACCAGAATGTCTGGATAGGCAGGTAATGCAGAGCTGTCCACACAAGCTGGCAGGTCCGAGTTTACAGAAACCACAGCGATGCAAGCTGGAGGACCATAACAAATCTCCCTGCCATCTTCAGACGTTACTGGCTAATGGAAATAAGTAGTTCTGAAAACAGCTATAACCTCCATTGCCAGGGGAGAAGAAGAAGAGGAAGCTCTGGAAGAACCTCTTCTAAACACTTGACTATTTTCTCTGTAACTTAAGGCCCCTCTGCCAGTTGTGAGGAGGGTTATTATACTTCATTGCCTCCCTGAGGTCTTGTTGAGATTAGTCAGTGAAGATGGTGGGGAAATCAGGCCCATCATTGATGCGCTACTGGTATTTGCACTAGATGCCAGATTGGTACTTAATGTACACTTGTGCTGCTGTAGCTGAGAGGGTGTTCCTGGATGTCTGCGCCACCTCCGATTTCTCTCCTGGACAAGCGAAGGAGAAATTTCAAGTCCAGCAGAGATTTAACTCAGATACCTACCTTTAATCACAGAGTTTATCTCACTGACTTCACTGAAAGCCTTTCAATTCAGAATTAAGGGAAATGCAGAGATGCTTTCAGGTGAGGCATGTACACTTCCTGTGTGGAAAAAAATGCCAATCGTACATTAGCAATTTTCCCTCCCCGACAAAACACCAGCAAAGCTCAAACCTCCTGCCGCACACATGGTCCCTACGGTGCTGAATGGGAAGGAATCTGAAACTGAGGGTTGCCTGGACTCCTTCTGTCCCCGTCATGGCCTGTGCGCTGGAGCTTCATGCACCAGGTGACAGTGTTGTGGCCAAGTTCTCCTCCAAATGCTGCCTGGCAGTCTGAGAAAAACATGAAATGGTCTCTGCTGCAAGTACTATTTGGTGCATGTAGGCGATTTCCTCTGGAAGCCATGCTTCAAATTACAAAGCTATGCTTGCAGCTTGACGGAGATGTTTATGTATTTGTGACTGACTACATGTGTTGTGTGAAAGGCGTTTCCAGACTTGTATTTAAACATACTGGGCTCTCTTCTGTCTTTCAGCTGAGGCAGGGTGCTCCCCTTGCTTTATGTGCTACCCACAGTCTAGTAGGAGTAAAATTAGCACCTGTGTTTAAGGATTTCAAATAGATGCTTGATCCTGGAGTGGTCACTGAGGAGGATTAAACTGAAAATCAGTCCCTTAGCACTGTGCTCAAAGATTGTGTTGAGTCACTTTAAAATGCTTGGGTTGTAATTGCCAAGAAATTTGTTCATGAGAAGAATCTCTGGTGCGATTCATTTGCTGCAGCAGCTCCCGATGGATATTGCTTTACTCTGGGTCTGCTCCTGTGTTGTATTTGCGGGTTCTCCCTGAAGTGAGTGGAAATTTTGTGCCCATACATCAAGGTTAGGATGAGGCTCTCTGTGTACGTATGATGTAGATAAATTGCTTGATGACCGTGAACTGTGCTATTCCAGAGCTCAGCAATAAATCACACGTTAGACTTTAAAACGCACAAATGGGAGCAAGGCGCTAACTGGTTTCCAGGTGGGAAATGGCCAACAAAATCCTTTCCTTTTTTTTTCTTTTGCAAATCTATCCTAATATCAGCAAATTAGATATGAAAGAAAAGATGCCCAATATAAGATGTCGCTGGTGTACGAAGGACTCGCTTGCACTGGCCTCATTCTCTGCTTTTCTTTGTGTTCTGGTTCTGCCATCGGTGTTTTGTGGATATTGTTGCATTCTGGGGTATTAACAGGATTTTACATTTTTAGCCAGCTAACGATGGGGGACTTCAGACTGGCATATTCTAGCCCTACGGGGCATTCTATTTTTGATATTTATTAACATTTTCTGTCATACTATATACAGTGAAAGTGATGAGCCTCAGACCTCTTGGTTTGTAAAAAAAGAATGCTTAAAAATGGCAACCTTTTTTATTTTTCTGGTATTCCAGTTTCCTAATATATTCCCCCATGTGCTGTGTCACTGCTGGCTGGTGAGCTGGGACATGGCTGCCTATCAATATCCCACATATCCCAGAAAAAGAAATTGCTGCCACTCAGAGGGAATATGTATATACGTATCTTAACCAAATTTGAGATATGATTTTAAAAAAAAAAATGTACTTTGAAGTCTGTTTTGTAGTTTTAATTAATGCAACGAGGTTTTTTACTTTACTCTCAGTGGAGATAATCTTAATCCATTCACAGTGACCTTTTCTTGTGCAAATTAGCTATACACGGTTGTTTAAGCAAATGGGCCTTTATGAGATGTCTCTTCCTAAAGACAGAGCTTATAATTGAAAATTGGCTTACTCCCATCTGTCTGGCCTGTGTGAGAGTACAAGCGTAGATCTGGACTTTTTTTAATATAACATATAACCATATACATATGTATATTACATACACATATACATGCATACAAAAAAATTGCTCTGCCTGCAGGCTACAGTTAAATTAGATTATTAGTGTTAGAAAATTTCAGTGCCACAAGTTACTGCCAGAAGAACATCTGTCTGCAGAGGCCAGGACTTTCTGGAGAACTGGTGTTTAATCTGAATCCTTTTGTCTCCGACGAGGTCGATGCCATTCACAGTTCCATGGGTTTGCCAGAAGTACAATTAGCTAATAACAGCCTGGAAACTGTTGGGATTTGATGTGTGGTTTTGGTGAATGGTTTTGAGGCGATTGATGAAACTGGAAAAAAAACCCAGTAGTGTCTATAAGCACTTAAAAGTTTTCATTCTGAAGAGCAGGGGCCGTTGCAGCTGTGTGGTTAATTGCCAAAATTTGGCAGTTTATCCCTTTCACCACACTTGACAATAACCACTGAGTCATTTTAACCCTCTGCCCCTTTTTTAGTGCCTGATTGATAAGGGAAGATTTCTTCGGCATAGTTTGAATATTTTTTGCTTTGTACAAACCTCTTGTGCAGAAATGAACACAGTTGTGCATGACTTATTGACTCAATTTGAATAGAAATCAGGGTCACAGAAGTGCTGCAACAAAGCTTTGGGTATCAGAATATACGTTTGTTGTTAGAACTCATGCGCACCTCTTTATATAGAAATAGCTGATTATTGCAAAAGCAAAATTATTTCCTTCCTTCTTAGTTTCATTACCAGTCTCCCCAGCTCTCTCCCATGGTGGTTGCTCCTTAGGATGAACAAAAAGGAGCTTGGGAGATGTCTGACACACGCATGCATACAGGGAACTAGTTAACCTGGTCGGGGATGATTTTATCCAGATGTGTCTCAACAGCTGTTTGCATTTTCACGCTCAGTTACTCCAGGACTCACCTCTAATTGAATTTTCTCTTTTCTCCCTTGTTCTTGTTAGGTATGATTACCGTGAAATGCTGCACAATGCCACTTTCTGTCTGGTTCCCCGTGGCCGCAGGCTTGGCTCTTTCAGGTTTCTGGAAGCCTTGCAGGTAAGAGCTGCAGTTTAAAGCATCGACGACGCTGGCTGCAATTCAGTGTGCAATAGGAGGGAGGTGGGGAGGAGGGAGGTGTGTTTCATTTCCCTAGTGGACAGTCATCCATTTTGCAAAAGCCTCTATTCATACTTCTGGTGCAGCTGGCAGCTTCTTCCCAGGAGGGGCTGAGCTCTGAGCTCATCTGAAGGTTGAATTGCGTTACCTCCAGGAAAAGGTTTCCCTGGATGTGGTGAGGCTGAGAGGTTGGACCAGTTTAGAGCAGTATTTTATCAGGCTCTGAGACTTCCCATGGGAGACTCTGGACTCTACCAGTAAGCCCCGGGGCAGTAAAAAATAGCTTTTTGTTTTCACTTAGCCAAAACAGATGTGCTTATGCTTTGCCTGTCTTGAGATGGTGCTTGCTGAACATGCAGAAGGTGGTCTGGAGGTTGTAAAGCCCCAGATGGAAGATTCACCTGAAGGTGGATGTAGGCTGATCCCAGGAAGCTCACTGTATGTCTGCAACAGCACCTGAATCCCCTTCACTTTTTAAAAACATTTTGGTTTAGTCTCCCTTTTTTGCTGTTGGCCAGCAGCAGAGGGCAATGCAAAGGGGCTCCTGAGTCACTGTGGCAGCAGGGCTTGGCAGCACAGGGATCGAGCCTGACACTGACCTACTCCGGCTGCAGCAGACATGACCTTTATTTTTTGGCAAGCATCAGCTCAGCCCCGGGGTCCTGAATCTTCAGTCAGCCATACAGAGCATCCTGGGAGATGCTGCAGCTCCCCTCTGGAACTGTCATCTGGATTTCCGTGGGGGCTGGAGTGGAGGTGAAGGGAAGCTGAGGCACTTCTTTGTGTCAGTGAGGTGGCAAATGAGGACACCTTACAGGGTCCTGCCTCTGGGTGTCCTTTTACCATTTGGGAAGTGTCCCAGCGCTCACAGTAAAGCTGTTAATAAATAGCATTGCATCACTTTCTTCATCAACCACAAAATGTCCCAGCCACTATTAAAGAGCATTGTTTACTGCAATGCAGAGCAGGATTCAGGTACCTAATTGTAGATGTATAATGTCATTTTAGAAGCCCAGGGGTACCCTTCTGGCTTTCCACTACTTCTCCAGATGGTCTGCAGTAGATCCTGTGCCATGTCTGCCAGCCTCTGATGGGTTTCATGGTTACCCTAGAGCATCCCGAATGTACTGGACACTTAGGTTTAACCACTGAAACCCACACCTACTGTCACATTTGAGATACAAGTTCTAGACTGTCACTTAACTCTTTGCTCCTAATCAGGAGAAGATTAATAGCCTGCAAAGTGCTGTTCCCTCTCCAGCCTCTTTGGAGGAAGTAGTGGGACTGGCTTATTTGGGATGATGGGTCACTTCAGATCCTCCTGAAGAGCACTAGGCCACAAGTCATGCAGCTTCTGTTAGATACATCATCTCAGGAGAAGAAAGCAGGGAGCATACCTCACTGTACAGAACTTGGAGGCTCCAGGTCGGCACAGGCACTGACAATTTTCCTAGCAGGCTAGTAGCAGTATTCATCAATTATGATGAATTCCCAGTTTCTGTCTGGCTCCAGGACATGTTGAAATACATTACTGGGATGTTTTGAACATGAAAACACATTGCTAAATGTTGTCGTGTTGGCTTTTTTAATGCACTAATGTAATTTCCTTACAGAACATCACAGTTACTTACCGATTATAAGCACTGCTGTAATGCAGAGACTTGACCAGTCTAAGATCCTGTGTGTAATACATGTTACCAAGGAAGGTACAGCAGTCTGAAAGGTTCCCTTTTATACCATCTTTTGGGAGGTATGGGGAGGTCTGAACTCAAGTCTGAACTAAATCAGAGCTCTTAAACTTGGCATGATCCAAAAGAAACTGAACCAGAGCTCAGGGTCGATGCAGATCCTCTGGGAATAGGTTCTTTCAGCACATCAGGAGGTTTTTGCTTTGGATCTTGTGTTGTGATCTGCCTGACCAGAACATAATGGCGATCATTTGTTTACGGAAATACTGCCCTATTTACTCAATATTCTCAAACTTGCTGTCTGTGCAGCTCATAAAAGATTAAATAATTTAGACAAGTCATACTGGTATGAAACAGATACTAAATGTGTATGCTTTCTGTTTGTTTTAAGACAGAAAGCAATTCTTATTTTTGTAGATGGGTGATGACAGATGAGTTGTCTTTGTGCAGTTGCCTCTGTTTGGAGAGTTGATCTCGAACAGGATGGGGAATTCACTCCTTTGTGAAACAAGTGCTCTGGAATTACACATGATCTAAATTTTCTGTA